CCCTAAACCCTAAACCCTAAACCCTAAACCCTAAACCCTAAACCCTAAACCCTAAACCCTAAACCACCCCAGGGACTCCTCCTCGGACTCTTCCTCCCCCTTGCTGCCCAGGCTGCTCCCCGAACTGGAGCTGGCCGGCCGGTTTAGGGTTTAGGGTTTTTAGGGTTTAGGGTTTAGGGCTTAGGGTTTTAAACCCTAAACCCGAAACCCTAAACCGTTTAGGGTTTAGGGTTTAGGGCTTAGGGCTTAGGGCTTAGGGTTTAGGGTTTAGGGTTTAGAGTAGCTGAACCCTCAAAAGGGAATCCCAATGCCTTGTGGTTCACCTTGTCATCTTTGACTGAGTGGCCAGCGCTCAAGGGTATGATCCGCACCAAGGGCAAAGGGGCCCTAATTGAGGGAACCTACCATGCAATTCCGCAATGGCCCATACAACAGGTGCGTTTGCTGCCATCCCCCGACACCCAGCCATGAGATGCGTGTAGGCTTCAGGGACTTAACGTTGTCCCTTAGGGTCCATGTACCTATATAGTACATACATGGGCCTTAAAGGAAGGGGTTCCTAGATACTAGCTTTAGGGCCCATGGACCCTTCTAGGGGTCTTGTGTAGCATCCACGGGGGGGCGTTCGTCCGCGCGGCCTTGAAGTCTTTCCGGCGCTGCCTGCGGCTGTGCAAGCTGGCTCCAAGAAGGGGCTTTCCAAGCATAGGGTCACCTTCTCAAAAATAGGGTCCCTCTTTGGAGTACCCTAATATAAGAGGGGCCGCCTTGTTATAAGGACCCCAAAAAGGCCATAATGTAGGGAACTCACCATATGGTCACTTCTCGACAATAGGGTCCCCTTCGGGGGTCCTTGTTCTGAGGCGGCCCCTCTTGTTTAGGGGTGCCCACAAGGGACCATTATGTAGAGAACTCGCGTTAGGATATTGAGGGTACCCTGTTGGGGGTCGGTTACTTTCGACGGGAACCTAGAACCAAAAGTCAGGACAAACGGGCTCCACTGGGCTACCAAGAAGGATGGACTGAGACATACCATCAATGCGTCACAGACGGTAGTAGTTCAACAGTTCAAGATATATATATATATATATATATATGTACACACATATATATATATGGCTAAAGTTAAAGAGCTTGTGGACTTCATGTGTCGGACACACAAGTAGCGTGCTGAGATGTTCCTTGATGGGGTGCAGGGAAAAGCTTCGCAGCCTGGCAGTGAAGACTCGGTTGACTTGGGCTCAGGCTCAGCATCGTATACGGAACAACTGAATACCTCACTGAGAAGTACTCTCCCTGTGCTTACAAAGCGTCTTCCTACGGCTTATGGCTTGGTGGGCTTTGAATCGCTTGAGGCGCATCCCGGTGTTGTGTCGCCCTTCTGCGCACGTGAACATCTCACACACCACTTCAAGTGCTTCGCTACAGTGTCATTGCGGGCACGAATTCAGGCGAGTCGGAGTTGTGCCAAACTACATTTCATGCCTGGCAGCCTATAGGCCCATGAGCCATCCCAAAATCCTTTCCAGCCCAAACTCTACCCAGAGTGACCTGCACACTCTTAGATTAGAAAAAGTACTTTCCTTAATGACTATAGGTAGATTTCCCTTTTTCGTATGTATATATATATATATGTATATAGAGGGTTTTCAGATTACTCCGGGTACATCCGAACTGCAGCAGCACCTGCCTTGCATCACTTGCGTGACTTCTCGCACAGGTCCGGAGCCTCACGTAGGGCTCCGGCTCCCTAAACCCTAAACCCTAGTCCCTTTTTAGGGAGGGGGGGTGGGGGTGGGGGGCGACCCTCATGCTGAAGCTCCTTAGCTAGTACAGGTCTAGGGGCCATAAGGCGGTGGTCTAGATGAGAAACAAGCAATAGGTCTAGACTCAGGCTGATAGGGTTCAGGGTTCTGCCTGCCTGGAAGGCACTTCCAGGTTTAGGAAGCGGAGGCTCAGGGACTCCGATTCAGGAGAGGCTCTCTAGCCCCTTTGACCCTACATGCATGCTTTTTAGTCATGGTACCCAACAAGAGGGGGTATATACTGTCAAAATCCTACGCCCTAAACCCCTAAACCCCCAAACACCCTAAACCCTAAACCTCTAAACCTTACACCAAGGGCAGCGTCAGGGAGCTGTTCGAACTCGAGCTGCTCTCTTCAGGGTCCTTCGGCCACGTGATCCACCGATACGATTTTGGAATGTTTTGTCGAAAGTGTGGCGCCCGGAAACCATACTAGATGCGGTTTTGGGGTGCCCAATTCCAGGATAATCGTGAGCGTTTTGGCTTGAGGGGGCTGTGTAATTTCAGGTATCATCCTGACGCTTCAGGTTGGGGGTTTGGGGTTTTGAGAGGTGCCTCTAAGTAAGTTCATAAACTTCATACAGCCCTAAGTTGGATACCAAGTACAGCAGCTTGGTCTTCAAAATCACCGAATCTCAGCGTACAGAAGGGCAATCCCCTGAAACCTGAAACGGAAAGCTTCACCCAAAAGCCCTCCCTACTGGCAAACTTTTCTGCAGGAAATGTCTCTACATTCATCCTCGAACCCTAACCCGCCCCATAGACCATGAACCCTATTTATGCCCGAAAACCAAAACCCCATAGGTAACCCTGAACAAAACTAAATGCGGTAGGGTTTGGGGAACATTCTGGGTTGCGAAGTATAGTTGTAGGGTTGTTTGGACGGATTTTCGGGTTTAAGAGGTTTCTGCCCCAAACCCTAGGAGGTCTCCAAAACTCATCCTCGAGGTTGGACAGGCGACGAGTGGAGAGCCGGCGCACGCCATCAAACCATCCCCCCTGCACCAGGAGACTTAAGACTCTACCGAAAGGCTCCTATGTAGTACCTTTTTGGGGTAGTATACTGGAACCCCGTATACTTAACCCAAAAAGGAACTACATTGGAGCCCAGGCTATTACGGAGTGCAGGGCGGGTGCGGTGGAGAGTGTGTCGTCTAAGTGAACTGGGCTTGAGGGCCCCACGCTAGAGACCTTAGGTATGTTCAGGGATTCATTACCCTAAGGATCCTTGCACCTATATAGTATATACTTGGGCCTTAAAGGGTTCCCACAGCGTAGCTTTAGGGCCCAAGTATATACTATGTAGGCACATGCATGGACCCTTAGGGTTACAGATTTGCGTAGCCAAGGGCGAATGGGGTTGAAGGAGGGCCGTAGTCTCGTTAGCACACTTGACTTCTCCAAGGTGATGCGACCTGCTTGCAAAGGTTGGGATGTTCCCCATTATACTAACAGTCCTTAATAGGGATTCTAGTACCCCCTATTATAATCCCAAAGAAGGACTGTTAGTATAAGGGGGAACATCCCAATGAAGGGTTGATAGGATTCGGGTGGCAATCATCCTGAAGCCCAGTACCTCGGGTATCCTTCGCCTGAGCAAGCAGCTGCAGATAAGGACCGTCATGCCCGGAGGATGTCCGTATTGGGGTTTCCGAAATTAGGGGTACCTTCTCGGGGTCCTTATTATAAGGGCATCTTGCTATTTGGGGGATCGTTTTTTGTAAACCCCCAAAGCAAACCCTGACGAGTTTTGGGTGAACCGCCAATCAACAAAGCTGATCTTTCACATGTGAGTTCTGGGCCTGGTCTGCTTAAACTTGCACCCGTCCATGATTAAAAAAGTTGTCTATACGTTTCGGGGCTGGAGTCTACTGAGCCCGAAAGTAAGGTCCATTTTCGCAGATTCCTCGAGGCCCCTGAGTCGAGGTCTATCGTACAAGTACCATAACTAGACCCAAGAGAAACCTCGAAATCAAGGAGGTGCCCGTTTTGGTTTAAAGGGGCGTATAATTATCAGGGAACCTAAACCCTAAACCCTAAACCCTAAACCCTAAACCCTAAACCCTAAACCCTAAACCCTAAAAAAGGAATAAGGGTCCACTCTGGGTCCTAGAGAACTTCAGGTGCGAGTCATTTATGACTCGAGCCCCCCCTGCCACTCGGCGAGCCTTGGGCAGCAACTCCGGCGTGGCCGTAAAGAGGTCCTGTGAGCCCTAAACCCTAAACCCTAAACCCTAAACCCTAAACCCTAAACCCTAAACCCTAAACCCTAAACCCGAGCTTTGTTCGGTCTAGGGTTGCCACCGGAGCTCCAACCCTAAAACCCACTGCGAAACCCCTCAAAACATCTGGGTGTTCCCCAAATTAGGAGACCCCCTAACTGAGAGACCGCCAAAAGGGACCCCGAATTTTCGGAAATCCCCCCTCAGGACCCTGCACTTTTAGGCTCCAGGCTCCATACCTCCTAAAACAAAACCGAAATCCTAAACCCTAAACCCCCTTAATTAAGCCAAAAACAACTTCAGGGCTTTACTGTGTGCTACTGAGGAGCTTCCCAACAGAGGGTCCCCTTGATATACCCCAAGATTAAAAAACCCTGCTGATAGGAAGCCCGAATTTAGGGTTTCGCGTGTACTGCACCCTCAGAAGGAAGTACTTCTGCCGAGTCTAGTACCTATACAGGCTACGAACAACTACGGGCGTACCTCTAGGTTTTCCGTGAGCAAAAAGCCTTCAGATGTTGTTTCCTATACATCGGTAGTGAAGCTGGGGTTTACGCACTCCCCCAAAACAGGCTCTGCCTGTTTTCTCCTTCACTATGCAAAAGAGATGCCTTCAGCATCTGTGTCTGATTTCCGTACCCTCACGTACGCTGTACCTTTCCGCAAGAAATTCACGCCTCTTCGGCTGATTAAAATCGTGGGTCTCATCCCACGAGGCTCAAGGCTTTCGGCATTCATCATGGTATGAAAGGACTGTTGGAAAACACAACGTCACTTGTGCCAGATCCACTCTAACATAGGTGACTGCTCATACCAGAGAACCATACTGCTTGCTCACACGGATCTTAACTGGAAATCGGTCCTATCTTTCCAGTTTGCACATGCGCGGGATGGTCTGATGAAAGGCTGATGGCCAACCTCCCCACGCCGGCATGAGTGGCCAAACAGACCGAGGCGGTCCTTGGATTGGCCATGACTAGTGTACTCGCACGTCCTCCACAGCCTGTTGTTCCAAGTCTATCCTTGAGATTCTCGGAGCTTCTGATTCTCCCACGCCAGTGTAACCTAGAGCTTGCGCTTCTCTCACGCCAGTGAACTCTGGAGCTTGCGCTTCTCGCACGCCAGTGAACTCTGAAGCTTGCGGTAGCCCAGCTGAAGATCGATCTCGCACACCCGGCTCTAAACCATCCACACTCCGTGGTACAGACCCCGAAACACTTCGTCTAACATCCCGAGGCCGCTCATCTTCAGCAGCTTCTTCAACCGCTGGCCAATCATCAGAATCATCAGTTCTCATGGCCCTCACCTGCTGATTCGGTTCCTCGGACCTTTCTGCAAACTGACACCAACGCTGCAATAGCAAAACGGCCACAATCACCAGCATCCCAGCCAACGCCGCAAGTCTCACTGACTCATCATGGTTTGCCTCTTCATCTGTGTTCATCTCCCATTTTGAGGCCGCATTCGCCAACGCAACTCCAATCACCAACAATCGCAAGCTCACCATGGCCAACAGGTCTACCCGAATTCCGCTACTACCGAGAGAGCCATCACGGCTGTTGCCACTCACGACGTGACAACGTTCTAGTTTGACCTCCCCCCCGGCAGATCCTGACGGCACATCCATGACAAGCAGCTGCACAAGCTCATTGTGCCTAGGAGGATGCAAGGCCTTTGTTGCTATGTCAGCAAGCATCCATCGTCCGGCCAGATGCCGTAACTCAAAAAATCCTTCTTCTAACAATTCGCGTCCTCCCCGAGCTTTTAAGCGCAGATGACGAGTGCGCCACGTGCCGCTTGGTGCCGAATACAGACTAACAGATCCCATCGAATCGCTATAAAGCAACTTTCGGACTGGTCCGGGGCAGATCTCCCGCACTAACGCTTCTAAAGTTTGAATGTACAGGATCCCATCACTGGTTGAGTACATTTCTGCTTCGGCTGAGGACTGCGAGGTAACAGACTGTCTGTGCGAGGCCCAACCTATGATGCATCCGCTCAGTGACGCAACAATCCCGGTTTGAGATTTGGAGTTGTTGGGGGCGAAGCTGGCATCGCTGTAGACTTCAATCAGACCTGGGCTTCGAGGAGCCGCCAGCTCACCCGACATCCCATAATCCGACGCCCCAGTAAGTGGCTCATACTTAAGCACCAGATCTGCGGTACGACGCAAGTACTTGATGATGTTCTGGGCATACCGGGTAGCGTACTCAGGAAAACGTGCCATAAGCTGCGCAGTTTTATTCACACTAAACGCTATGTCAGGGCGAGTGCGAGTGGTAACCCACTGCAACGCCCCTGCTAGCATTTGAGCCTCCTTCAATTGCTTTGGGTTGGGTGCTTCAGGTTCTGGAGTTTCATCCCTAAGACATGGCACCTCCGCAGTTCCTTGAACGTCCGGGAAACGGTTTAGCAAGTCACGGATGTAATCCTGTTGGTTCAGCAAGTACCCTCCGGAAGGCAACTTATGCAAATTGAACCCGCAGAAACGAATAGGCTTGCCGACCTCTGCTGATTCCGGATCGGATGTAGCCCACAGCCGCTGGATCTCAGATATCAATCTCTGCTGCACCGACTCCTCCATGGTCAGCAACAAATCGTCGACGTAGACCCCTAGAAGTCCATGCAGCCTTTCTCCTTCTTGATCCGCTTCACTGCTGGAGGAAATCACCCGCCATAGATTTGGCTCTGCAACGGTTTGTGACAAACGGAAATCTCGACCTCCATCACTCCACTGTAGGCTGCGCAACGCCAGATCGCGATGTGAAGACCAACAACGCGGTGCCTGCTGTAGGCCGTACAAGGCTTTTATTACAAGCCAACGTTCCGATTCTTCTACTAGGTTCAACTTCACAAGGATCTTGGGCGGGGTTACTACTACGATCTTCACACGCTGACCCTGAACATGTTTCCGTTTTCCAACCAACCGCTCGAAGTCCAACGCGCCCGAGCCAACATCACCAGGAGTCAAGACTGCATGCCCTTGACCATCCTGATACAAAGGAGCGTCCAAGAAGGCTGTCTTAATATCCAAGCCGGCGTTGTGCCATTTATTGATGGCAGCAACACAGGCCTGAATTCTCACGCTCGTCCCGTCCACGCCTCCTGCGTATAGATCCTGAGAGCGCACGGTTCCCTTTGCAACATCCTCCGACGGTGAATCCGACTGCAAGAAGTTGCCGCATCCGACAATTCTAGCACGAAGCCGGTTTGTAATCGGCTTCTGAGTGTAAACACCTTTTGCCGGTATCAGCGACACCTCAGCAAGTTCCTCAAGACGTTTCAACTCTTCAGGGCCGATCGCGTACACAGCCCTGTGAACATCCTTCAGCGCCACAACTTCATCAGTAAGAGGTTGACGCCACCGCTCCAAATCCTGCCACACTTCAGCCTGCGGAACAATCCTTGTTTGAAGCAACACGCCTGGTGGAGAATGGGCTCCCTTTGCTTTCATCTCCTGAGTATCCTGACCAAAATCAGGATGCAACTCCTGGGGCTGCTCCCCCGCAAGTAGGTCATTGCCCCGCTCTCCAGCTGACGCCTCAACAAGGTCCGCACCACTTGTCCGCACTGCCCTGACGCATGGCAAGCCTGTGTTCTCCAGCTCCTGCCACGCTTCTTCAAGCTCACGCTCAACCGACTTCAAGCGATGCAACGCAAAGGAACCACGCTCAAGCTCAACCGCACGCTCACAACAATCATGATCTTGGAACAACATAGCAACCCGCAAGTCTTCATGCAGTTCCGACAACAAGCCCGGCGTCACACACGACAGACCACCTTCAATTTCCTCACACATGGCCTTCTTCTCCTCACGCGTCAACTGCGTTAAACGATCAACAAACTCTTCATGATTCGGCTCCCCACAGCCTTGCCACTCCCCCGCAAAGGAGTCATCCTCCGAATCGCTGCTAATATCAAATCGCTGTGGATCACGGCCGAACTGACTCGCGGCAGCTTTCACACGCACCTCCTCCTTGACAATGCCTCCCAAAGGAAATCCCAAGTCCTTCAACATATTGATGTCCCTGTTTTTTGCCAAATGCAAACTTCTAGGTGTGTACCCTACCACCACGATTCTGTCCTGCGAAGACGACTCAACAGCATGTAAGACACTGGGATCAAACCACACAGCGTGCTCATCTCCCCCTACATATCTACCCTGGTGATTACCCCAAGCAGCGATTCCGGAACGAGGCCCAAGACCCGAACCTAGCTCAGCTGAGGAGTCGGAAACCCAGAGTCTACCCCCTTCGAACCGACTGATGGGCACGAGGAAGTTCTTACTCCCTTTCATGTTTCTGTCCTTATGCGGAGACGCACTCATACCCCACGTAACCCGAAGTGCAGACCACGACCCATGCGGATCTAGTGATTTGAGATACGAGTTGATGACCCTCACGACGTTTGGCATCCACGAGGTGCGATTTGTGAGTCCTACCTTGTTTCCGTACACATAAAAACCCAATGTCCACCCTCTGGCGCCCGATGACCGAGCAACGATATCAATAGCCCTGCCCTTCGCCTGGAAGTCATGCATAGCACGTCGAAGGATATCCTCAATCTCGTAGCGCTGCGGTACACAATCGCGTGCTAGAAGATACATGCCATACCTTTCGGCTTGTTCAACGTTCCACCATTCCAGCTTTAGCAATGATTCAGCTTCTTCTTTCGTACATACCCCTATCATCTCACTGGCTGGCGGCTTTCCACCTTGCGTACGAAGAGATCTTTCGATTGGCCCACCGCAGTTCCCCAAAAATCCTCCTGAGCCCTGTCCAGCCTCAACATCCCCATCACTTTCAGCGCGAGCGGACTTCCCGGACCTCCCAGGGACCTCAACGCACGCAGGCCCTTCGGACCTTTCAGGAACCTCTTCGGACCTCCCAGGGACCTCATCGCGAGCAGACCCTTCGAACCTCCCAGGGACCTCAACGCGGGCAGACCCTTGGGACCTCCCAGGGACCTCAACGCGAGCAGACCCCTCGGACCTCCCAGGGACCTCAACGCGAGCAGACCCCTCGGACCTCCCATGAACCTCAACGCGAGCAGACTCAACGCGAGCAGACCCCTCGGAAGACCTCCCAGGGACCTCAACGCGAGCAGACCCCTCGGAAGACTCCCCCCGTGGCTCCACGCCACGCGCATCCATCGCCACTCCAGGCGTCTTGCCGACAACCCTGCGGGTCGGTGGAGGATAGTCTTCAACGACAGCATCAGCAGGAACTACACCGGCAAATCGAACAGGCTCCCTCACATGAGAGTACACGACAGGGGCCACATACAAACGGACTTGATCATCCTCATCAACAATGCGAACGACCGTGGCATTGGGCACCCGAACTGAGGGAGCTACCGCAAAGCCCTGAACAGCCTTGGAGCTCCATGGGGTTTTTCTAGACCATTCACGTTTTTTGACGGTGACTAACGTTCCCGCCGGCACCAAAGGGCGCTTTCTGGCCTCAGCCCCCAGACGATCCAACCCCCTCTGAAGACACTGCTCCCCCCATTGTCGCGCAAGGTGAGGCCAACACATCGTGGGCAAGCCACTCTGAATGAGAAGCCCTCTGATGCCAGCCTTGCATCGACCGACGACACTCTCGATACGTCCGTTTGATTTAGGATCACTTGGAACACTAGCGGTTAGAGCAATGTCCCTGGCCAAAGCCCAGCGTTCCAGGGCCGCATTTGCAAACTCCCTACCGGAGTCGGAATGAAGCCTTCGAACCCCCAGATTGAGTAAGCGAATACGGGTATAGATACGCTGTATAGCACGTAGAGTAACAATCGCTCTTTTGCTAGCAATGGGTTCTACGAATACTAGCGGAACAATTTCTACAGGGTCTTTGAGCTGCTCTATAGTTGCCCGCCACTTTTCATTCCAAGCCTCCGCCCGGTCTTTCCAATGAGGATCCAAACCCCCAACGTCTTCCGCGCCCTCAACACCCTCAACAGAAGCAATACCCTCGCCCGCCTCCCCCGCAAAAAGATCGTCTGTCGCAAGAGTCCTCGGCTCGACCTCGTCCTCCGCGAACCACTCAGTGGGTATTTCATACCCCTCTGCAGCCTCACGCTCCTTGGAAAGCGGCCTGGGACGACCGTCCTTAAACAGAGGAACCCCCAGAACCCCAACCAACAGATGCTTAGCAGCGCCCAGTTGGTCTTCACCCTGTGCGAGGGGCCCAATGAGGTCTACGTTGAGGGTAAAGGCGTTACGATAAGGGTATTTTTGTCGAACGTGGGAATGGCCTCGCACGCTACTTGACAAACAGATGTTGCAATCCCTGCGGTAACCCAAATGATCCCTTTCGCAGTGTTCTACAAAGGCCTTTTCATCCTTGGAGAGTGCCCTGATGTGAGCCTGTTGATCTAGCATGACCCTTTGACGTTCCAGCGCAGGCGTGCAAACCCACGCGTCTATGGCCCGCCCAATAGCTAAGGCTAATCCCGCAGCCCATTTAGCCCACTGTCGCGATTGATGCATGCGCAAACGCAAGTCCTCGGATTGTTCCACCCTTGACACCTGGCCCTCGTGACGCATATGCAACACGGAATAGAGCGACCAGTCGTTCGTTAGGAGACATGTGGGTTTTCGGACGCAGTGCCCAAGACTACTTTGAGAGAAACTCGCCCTCAGCATTCCCTTTTCTTTTTCTAGAAATTCAATCTCAGGCCATGCCCACAAACTAGCATGAGGTTTGCCATCACACAAGTACTCGCATGGATCCATTGGATGTTCCAACACGAACAACACACCTTCTGGGGAACTTTCATGGGCAATGTGATGTAGCAGGAACATGCGGAAGTACAACACTGTATGTCCATCCACGACACGCTGCTCATCCTTTGAGAGTCGAGCGCCTTCACTCGTTCTTCCAAAGCGGCCAGGCCCATCCCTGTCCCGCAAAACTCGCGGCCCCCCATCCCACTCGCTCCTTTCCCTAAGTCTAGAAGTGGTGGCACACGGCGGCCCTCCTATGACCGCTATGACCCTTCCTGACATGCACAAATCACAAAGGTACCTAAATAGAGGCTCTGACAACAAGTCTGCTCCTTGCTCGAGGTCGATGGACAAAACATAAACAGAACTAGGAAGGTGTCCGAAGTCCCGAGTTTTGGTTTTGCCAGCAAAGAGGTGAAGAACAACATGCTCAGCTCTATCAACGCTTCTGCGAACCCTTCGATTTAGGGGCAAATCCTCACCTTTAGGAGCTTCACTCCAACTGGGAGGTACCCGAGCCAACAGACCTTCAGGGCAATCAGGACTCAGTTTTCTTAGCCACTCGAGCATCGGAACCACCCAAGCATCACGTTGATCCCCTATCGACTCTTCCTGTGGGGCATTGTTGCCTGAAAGTGCTAATTCCTTGAGCTTAAGGGCCCTTTGAAGGACTTTAGCCCGTTTGTCCTCAATTTCAAAGATCAAATCTTCAGTGAGTTTGGCACACAATTCAGGACAGCGATTCACCATCACAATCGGAAGCCTTCCCCTAGTCGGGTGGACAACCTCGCAAGTTTCTCCCTCCCAGTGCACCTTGCAGCTTAACTCTGCTGCCAAAACACCCATAGGAACTATAGGAGCCACTGGTTCAGCTGACAAAAGCGTTCCTACTGGGCTTAAGTGGAGCCGAACCTTTCCCAAAGCCAACGACACATCCGTGACAGTGCAACAACTCAATTCTTGAGGGTTTCTAGCAGCCCGCAACGCATTTGTAGCGCCTCCGTCCAGTAGCCCTCGGGCATTCTTGGGAGGATTCTGCACCACTTTTGTCAAGTACGGCTGCTCGGAATCCCTGTCATTTTCACCGGAGTCGTCTCCAGAACACAGATCTGCATCAACCTTGACCGCGGCAACCCTGAACCCTTTCAAGAGCTTCGCAGCTTCCGCGAGGAGTTCTTGCGAAGAGGCCTCTGCTGATTTTCCGGATGCCTTGGCCGCGTCCCCACTTCCTGCATTCCCTGAGGCTTCCCCAGTCCCACCTTCCACATTTGCTTGCCGAACATGCGCACCCTTGGCTTCTGCTTTTCCGCCGCCCCCTTGAGCGCTCTTTCCTCCAGAACCTGCGCCCTGCCCCGACCCCGAAGACTCCCCCCGAGGAGCATCCTCGCCCTTTCCACCTCGCTTACCTTGAGGCCTAGAGCATGCGTCTTGGCGATGTTCAGTAGAGCCACACGTGAAGCAACGACCTTCGGCTGAAGCCTTTCCGAAATCATGAGCGGACCAACAGGTTCGACCCATCTTGCATCCCCCTTTTGTTGAGTAAAACCGACACGGACCCTTCCCGCCTCCTTGCCCCCCACCCGTTTTGCCCTGTCCCTGACCCCCTTTCCCGGATCCCCCAACGGACGGAGATTCTGAAGTAGGACCAGCAGGGATTTCAGCTGGAAGCTGCCCGGGTGACGTGGCACTTGCCGCACCTCCCCCTTTTGCAGCGGCCTTGGCAGCTGCTTCAGTCTTACGAAGAGCGGCAGCTCGTTGCTTCTTTGTAGGCTTTGGGCCCTCGGAGTCTACATCAACATCAGCACCCGACAATGCTAGCGTTTCAGTTTCTGCTTGAAGAAGTCGAGCATATGCCGTCACACTAGCAACTGTAGGGCAAAAGTCAAGTTGATGCTGCGTTCTAGAAATGTTGCATCTAAAGCTTAGCTGAGTGTGAGCTGCAAGGACGCCCTGACACAACTTATCAAGACCTGACAATAGAATTGCTGGATCAGGAGGAGACACGCCGAGATCTTGTGACCGTCCCAGCCACCTATGCCAACGACGCAGTTGATCTGAACACTGCCGAGCTGAACTTGCTTGACCCGGATCAGACAGGTTTTGAAGTAACTTATGTCTCTCACCTAGTCCTCCAGGCTGGAATGCTAGCAGTATTCTATATATGGCGTTCGCGCACGTAAGAGACTTGGTAACAACCAGTTCATCTTTGATCCGCGCTGGTAAGCTTTCCATGATCATGCCAAGCGCTCTCGCCTCGAGTCTGGACAGCTTAGCATCAAGCAAATCGGCAGGCGACTCGCAAATCACAAGTGACTTTTCAAGCGGTCCTGCTTGCTGCCACTTAGCATAAGCAGCCTGCGCCACTTCCATAACCCGTGCCCACCAAATCCAACTACGCTCCGACAAATCACTCATGATGGGTTTAATCTGCGTCAGCCAGTCTGATACGGCTATGCATGCATCCTCAGTGCTCGGGTCAGGCAGGTTGGGCAACTTCCACCACGTACGGTCCCCTGGCGTGTAAGGGCTTCTACCCCCACCCCTAGGTGAATCTACCGCAGAACCAAACGTCCCAGCTGGAGCTGCAAACGCAGGCGGCCCCGCATTATCCACACCATGCAAGCCCGATCTCCGAGGATCATACCCCGTCACCCCTGGAACCCCAAAGACACCCCATCCTGAAGAAGGGCTCAATGGACTTCGCAACCTGTCATCTTGCCCAGCAAGTGAGAACCAATCAGAGCTCCCTGCCAGCTGTCCCTGAGGCGTCCTATCCCCTGTCTCACACACACCTGCCCCAAAAGACGAATGAGAAGATCCAAACTTTGGAGTGGGCGTTTGAGGGGGAGTACCAAGCGGCACCCTCGTTCCATTTGGAGTAGTGGGGGGTTCGTCTCTGGGTGGAGGAGGCGGTGGGGGACTTTGAGCACGCTCAACCCTAAGCCCTTCCCTCGCTCGCATGGCTTCCGTAGCTCGACGAATGCCTTCCTCCAAACCAGCGCGATATTCCCACGACCCTCTTTCTTCAAGAGAGACATACCTGCCCAGGTAACCCGACCCCCCTGAATTCCAAACTCCGTGGTTTCCCTCCAAAATGCTCCTAAATCCTTCCCCTCGATCACTGCCCTTCTGAGCTTCATCCTGGACTTCCCGATCACCGCCCGAAGACGCTGACTGCATAGCATCATTTTCAACCCTATCCAACCTGCTCCGAAGTGCACTCTGACCCTCAAGTATCACCCTGTTCTGTTCAAACAGATCTACAAGAAGATCCTTCATTTGTTCTACCACCAAGCGTTCCCCTGGTCTCATACCAAGCCGCTCTGATGGCTGAGGAGGTAACGGAAGATCCTGCTGGGTTGGATGAGGCAGATCTGGCGATTGAACATGCCCATGAAGGTCATGGCCCACCGCAACCTCTGAGGAACCATTCCCTGCACCGCATACTCCACTTTCGCCGCCAGCTTCAACCAACCGAGCACGTGCCTCCAAACCAACACTCGGATCTGGCCGGAGTTCCGTGGACGTACTCCCAGCCGTAGAGTTGGTTCTTTCCGCATCTGTCAACGCCTGAGGTCTCATCGCCCGAAGTTGCGCTTCATCTTGCGCTCGTTGACTCCAAAAGGGATTCGTACTCACAGCCCCCTGCCTGGCCCCCTCCAACGCCGGACCCTCATCACCAGCAATGGCACCTCCGCCACCTTGACGTGGCTGACCAGGTTGACTGGACTGTCCTGCTGTCTCATCCCTTCCTGGAAGCGCCAAGAACTCAGTAGCTGCAGTCGCTTCATCCGTGCTCCGTCGCCGCCGCTGCTGAAACTCCATAGCGCCCTACCTAAGCGAGCCTTGGGCTCATAACCTACGAACAACTACGGGCGTACCTCTAGGTTTTCCGTGAGCAAAAAGCCTTCAGATGTTGTTTCCTATACATCGGTAGTGAAGCTGGGGTTTACGCACAGGCTATGGAGCTCCTGAGACCTTGCACCTTAAACCGCTCCCCAAACCTCAAATGGCACCCTAACCCAAAACCTAAACCCTAAACCCTCAACCCCAAACCCTGAAACCCTAAACCCTCAACCCTAAACCCTGAAACCCTGAAACCCTAAACCCTGAACTCTAAACCCTAAAAAACCTATCAGGGCCAATGGCTGGTCCTCGATCAACTGGCGCAGCGCCGGCTGCTCTGCCGGAGCCGCAGGTTGCACAAAGACCTGAGGGCAGAGGGGTTTAGGGATTTTTGGGCTTAGGGCTTAGGGTTTAGGGTTTGGAGTTTAGGGTTTAGGGTTGAGGGGTTTGGGGCCAGGGTTTAGGGCTCAGGGTTTAGGGCTGAGGGTATTGTTAGGACCCTTACCCTTAAACAATCTAAACCCTATCCCAAAAGATGGCATATGGATATGGATAAAACCATCCCCCTAATCATAAAAAAAAAACAACACATTTAGAGTTTCCAGTTGGCGCCTGTTTAATAATAGGAGAAGGGATTATTTTGTGTGTGTGTGCATATACATATACATATATAGGTTTCTGCATGTTCATATTCGTATACCCCAAGTCTTTCAGACTCGGGGCTATTGGGCCATTGCGAGTGTAGAGCTGCCATAGGGTTTAGGGCGTTTAGGGCTGTGATTTTCGGGCTGTTGGACCATTAACCCTACACACGAATCAAAAGGCCGTAGAGCCTAAACCCCTGAATCCTGTAGCCCCACCCTAAACCCTCAACCCTACACCCTAAACCCTGTGTAAACCCTAAACCCTAAAGCCCAAACCCAAACCCCGCCCAAGCCGATCAGGAGTGCTGCTCGTGCCTCGCTCAGAGCCCGTGAGAGCAGAGCCTCTTCCTCGGCCTCTGGACTGCGCGCCTCGCAACGTCATCAGGGTTCAGGATTTAGGGCTTCGGGCTTTGGGGTCAAGGGTTTTCGTTGGGCCTTTAAGGGCTCTAATTCCTTGTAGACGTTCAAGGGTTTCGTTGGGCGTTTATAAGGGCTCTAATTCCCTGTAGACGTGTAGGTGATGGCGTCAGGGATTCTCTGGCCAAACGAGTTTGTTCGTCGCAGCCGCCAAGCATCCCATTGATTAGGGCTATGACCTTTGGCTTTGTTTCAGCCGCCCTCCTGCGCGCTTGCCCAGATCCAAAGCGGGACTCAGAAAAGGGATCAAACGGGAAGGAAACTTGGACTCTTGAACCCACTCCACGCCTCCAGACTTAAAAACCCAACACGCAGGTACTTGGCATCTGCATTTCCATTGCAAGCGATCAGTCTTCCCCAGCGCCAAATCGCACTAGACCCTGAACGGCCCTGAGCCGCAATCTGTCCCCAAAGCCTTGAAGCTTGTGGATTCGGCAGTCTCATGAAGATGCGCTTTTCAGGGGATTGCGGCGAAGAAAAAGTCCCTAAGCGGGTTCTACTAAGAAACAGCACCCAACCCAGGGAAAAGCTTCTCATGTCCTGGGTTGAAGGCGGCCAGAAAGCTGAACGTGGTGCGCTCTCACAAGTCTTAGGCAAGCCCTGAGCTAGATGACCGGCAGAAACCTGGAAACAGCGGAGCCCCAACCCTAATCACACCCAACCGTGAACCCATCAACCCAACACCCTCAACTCGGCATCCGAGCATTGGCTACAGTTCCCGCTGTTTGGTTTCGAGTTTAGAGTTCGGCTTTAGAGGTCACAGGCATTGATCACAAGCCGCAAAGCAGAACTACAGAATACCCCACGTTTGGGCTCCATAGTGGAAAGGTCACAGCGAGAGACAGCTGTAGACCTTGCTTTGCCGACAGGTTCACTCTCACTTACTGTAGGGGCCAATACTTTTAGAACAGGGTTTCCGGGGATAGTATAGTATATTTATGTAAGGCACCGTAAGGGAATACGATTATAGCAATTACTCCGACCCCTATATTCAGCCCTCCAAAAATCCAAACGCGGCGCCTTCAACTCGGATGCGGAGATGGCCAGCTTCCTGGCATCAGCTTTCTCTGGGGGTTGTACCGTGGACCCCTAATGTTGTACCGCAAATTTTGGGCATCCCTTTTAAAGATCCTTTATGTAGTATGAGGGTCATATAAGGAGTAGATTGGAGGGGAACCTTTAGGGGTACAACCCTAGGGGTACGAGCCTTAACCCCTTTGTTTTTGTTTTTTTTCCACCTGTTGAAGCTTGCGCTATTTGGCTATTTGCTGAAGAACCTCCCAAAACAATGAAAAGCAGATTATTCGTTTAAACGGGAATCTAGAGTCTGTTGTTTTTTTGTTTTTTGTTTTTTTTTTGTTTGGGGGGGGGGGGGTTCTTACACAAGTCGTAGGCTTGCATCCGAATCTTCACATGCCCCTCACAAACACCCCGGGACATGGTTCTACGTGATGCCTCCATGTTTGGCCCTCGTCTTTGGGTTGTTCTCTCAATGGGCTCACTTTTGGGGTTATCGTATGGCACCTTATAAGAAGGACCCCCGCTAAGGGACCGCAATGTAGGGAACTACTCATGTAGAGAACCGGGCATGTTGAAGTTGTTAGCCCTGGCACCGGGGATTGTATACTGACTGGGAAGCAAGGCTTGGGGTTTAGGGTTTAGGGTCACAAGGGTTTAGGGTTCAGGGTTTAGGGTCACAAGGGTTTAGGGTCACAAGGGTTAGGGTTTAGGGTTTAGGGTTTAGGGTTTAGGGTTTAGGGTTTAGGGTTTAGGGTTTAGGGTTTAGGGTTTAGAGTTTAGGGTTTAGGGTTTAGGATTTAGGGCAGCTTGTCGCGCCTGAGGAGCTGCAGCCCAGACGGGCAGGAGCAAATCGTTCGTACCTAACTAGGGTTTGTAGGGTTCATAGGGGTTTTATAGGTTTTGTGAATGGGGCTCCATAGGGTTTATAGGGTGGATAGGGTTTGTAGGGTTTGTAGGGTGTAACGGGGTTTATAGGCTTTACTGGCTTCATGGTGTTGAAAGGCTTTATAGGTTTAGTTGGTTTTATGGGGTCTATGGGGTCATTGGGGGCGCAGGGTTTTTGGAGGTCGGGGTCCCGGAGTTTAGGGTGTTTCGGGTGCCCAGGGTTTAGGGTTTAGGGTTTAGGGTCCCACGAGCGCTGGAGGCCTCAGGCATCTTCAGGCCGTACGGGGGTGGCAGGTGGGGCTATATACTAGACCGAAATAAAATGCCCTTGTTAATTTTAATAAATGCCCTTGTTAATCTTAATAAATACCCTTGTTAATTTTAAGAAAATTACAAGGGAACCTTAACCCTAAAACAAAGGGGAATAAGGGCCCCAATGTAAGGCTGCCCGGGGGTCAAAGCCCGCCTCGGGCTAGATGATTCTGTGCGGGGGGGTTGGGGATTATAAGGGGGATTTCAGGGGTTGAGCTTGTTGCGCCTTGTTGGCTGAGCTTTCTTAAGAAAAGAAAAGGGTCAAGCTTTAAGCTTTGTGTGTTTTGCGGAAGTTTGGGAGAATCGGCAGTACCTAGCTCCATACTCGCTAGATCCTGAGCGTTATCGGCCTCCAACCCTCCTAAACCCTAATATAAACCCTAAACTCTAAACCCTAAACCCCAAATCTTCCCCAAGGCCCCCCTAAGCCCTCCATCTTTCCTTCTGGACCCTTGAGAGAAAGCTGAGCGCAGGGCGTGCCGGAAGAACTCAGCCTCGGCTTGGCAGTAGGGGTTTAGGGTTTAGGGTCTGCAACGGTTCAGGGTCTGTGTGTGTGTGTAAGGGTTTAGGGTTTAGGGTTTAGGGTTTAGGGTTTAGGGTTTAGGGTTTAGGGTTTAGGGTTTAGGGTTTAGGGTTTAGGGTTTAGGGTTTAGGGTTTAGGGTTTAGGGTTTAGGGTTTAGGGAAAAACGTACCTACATGGTCGAAGGGAGGGAAATGCACCCTTACACCCGTTACAAAGCGCAACGTACCTTACTTCGTGGTCAAGGTACCCTTCTTGAAATCACAGTTACTCTAGGTACGCGCAGGGCTGAAGGTTAAAGCTACTTTGTTGTGCCTGGCGCTACCTGGGCTATGAAGACTCAGGGTAGCAACACACACACGCACCATACGTCAGCAATGCCACTATTTGCTTAAATAACCCTTAAAAAAGATGATAATCCCTGAGTTGCCCTTATAAGGAAGAAAAATCTTCATTTTATTTTCATTTTTGGCGGGGGGGGGTTCTTGAGCAAATAGTAGGATCATGGTTCGAGCAAGAAATCGTCAACTCCAAAGAGGCCGCGAAGCGATCCGCCGAGCAGTTCGTGCCCTTGGCTCAACAAAGCAAAGTGGGGTTTACGCTTTGGGGTTAAGGTTTAAGGTTTAGGGTTTAGGGTTTAGGGTTTAGGGTTTAGGGTTTAGGGTCGGACTCTAAGAGCTGAGCTGCGCGAACTTGAAGATTGGCCCGCAAGTCCCAGATACTGCCATATAGCTGCCCTCACTTCAAGGTTCATGGTAGGTGTTAGTAGGGTTACAAGTAGGATTGAGGGTGCGTGCTGTCCAGCAGCAGCGCTTAAGACCCTTGCCGGGGTGCGTCCCCTTTGGGCAGACTGGTGCAGTCCTATCAGTCTCCTAACAACTGGGGGTGGGCATCATGACCAGGTACAAGGTCTCTCACATCGGGTTTAGGGTTATTTGGTACCCTAAAAAAGGTTCTAACCAGTGAGAATGACAATTGCCTTAGGTATAACCCCACGTATATCTACACCCATGCACCTCCAAGCAGGCAAGCAAACGTGCTGGCTGATGAGTCCATCCCTGAGACGCACATGGCCCATGGCCACACCGTAAGCCATGCTGGACAAGCCCCCCAAAAGGAACCCCGCGATCCCCAAGACCTTATGCTTGGATCGAGCACCGCTGCACCTCAAACATGTATTTCCCTTGATCAGAATTTGAAAGTACAGCTAAACCCTAAACCCTAAACCCTACACCCATTAAACCCATTAAACCCATTAAACCAATTAAACCCATTAAACCCATTAAACCCGTTAAACCCATGAAACCCACTAAACCCATTAAATCCATTAAACCCTAAATCCCTCCCCTTGGCCCTCAACAGCTTGCTGCCGAGCTTCACAACGCGGTCTTCAAAGCCACCAGCCAGGAGACCCACCTCCATTATGCGATGGATGTCCTCAGTACTTTCCCAGCGCAATAGGGTTTAGGGTTTTGGGTTTAGGGTTTAGGGTTTAGGGTTTAGGGTGTAGGTACTTTCCCAGCGCAACGTGTATAGCCAGAAAAGACAAACAGACCTAGTGATCAGGGTATGCGTTTCTCCATTGTGTACTGTGCTTAATATTCTCTCGCTGTAAGGCACCCAGGCATCTAGGTTCCTGTTGAGCTATACCTCTTGTTGGGTGGTGTCAATGTGAACCTTTAGAAACTTAAACGCCAAACCCCTTTTGCGAGGGTTTCCGAGCATGGAAACGGGGGGTTCCCGTCTTGGGGGTTTCCCTACTTCTAAACCCTAAACCCTAAAACCGTGTTTTTCGGGGGTTTAGGGGCTTAGGGGTTTAGGGGTATAGGGGTTTTAGGGGTTTAGGGGTTTAGGGGTTTAGGCGTATAGGGGTTTAGGGGTTTTAGGGGTTTAGGGGGGGGGGGGGGCTTCAGAGGGACCCCCTGTGTATTTTGGGACATGCTGACCACCCATGGAGCCAAGGCCAGGCCTGTGACGTGGGCTCTTAAACGTACTGACAGGGCTTCGAACGCTTTCTAAACCCTAAACCCTAAACCCTATAAACCCTCTAAACCCTCTAAACCCTATAAACCCTATAAACCCTATACACCAGGGCTTCGAAGGCTTTCTAGAGCCTAAACCCTAAACCCTATAAACCCTATAAACCCTATAAACCCTAAACCCTATAAACCCTGTAAACCCTAAAAACCCTATAAACCCTATACACCCTATAAACCCTGTAAACCCTGTAAACCCTATGAACCCTGTAAACCCTAAACGGATCTTTTGGGTTCCGTGTTTTGGGCTTAGGGGTTCACCACAGGCCTCAACCCTGCACTCCGCATTGTAGGATTTAGGGCTTAGGGTTTACCTGAAGGCTCTAATGTAGTTCCTTTTTGGGTTATATGGGTTAGTTAAAGGGGATTCTAGTATACTACCCCAAAAAGGTACTACAAAGGAGCCTTTAGGTAGGGTTCCCATGGGTGCAGGAATGCGGAGTTCAGCTTTCGGGGAACCGTAGTTGATGCGCGGCGGCCAAAACAAAACTCACGCCCAAGTTGCCGGGGAAACGACCGCCAGCGGTCGCAAGGTGGGAGCCTGTTTGTGCGACATGCAGCTCCCATGACAGAAAGCACCTACTACCCACAGACGGCTGGATCCTTGAACCCTATGGTGTATGCGTCTAGGTTTCAATGTTCTATATGTATGCGAACACACACACACACATATATATATATATATTATCGATACACAGATGTATACTTACTTATGTATTCATGTCTATACGCCTATGGCTACATGGATAAGAGAGACAGAGATAGCGAGACAGACAGAGAGAGAGTGAGAGAGAGAGAGAGAGTGAGAGAGAGAGTGAGAGAGAGAGAGAGAGAGCGCGAGACAGAAAGAGAACGAGAGAGAGAGAGAGAGACAGAGAGCGCGAGATTGAAAGAGAGAGACCCAGAGAGCGCGAGATATGCCCTGCACAGGGCTTACAGCACTCCGCTTCAAGGCGCCGAAGGCCCGACGAGAGCAGGATCTGTTGCCCATATGTAGGTCGCTGAGAAAGAGCCAGCAACACTAACAAAAACACAAATGATTGCAAAGCACTAACACTAGCCCCCCCTAAACCCTAAACCCTAACCCTAAACCCTAAACCCCAAACCCTAAACCCTAAACCCCCAACCCTAAACCTAAACCCTAAACCCTTTGGCACTCGAAGCTTCCTCAACACTCTACAGGCCCTACTAGCACTTCGTGCAGTCGAGGCCACCATGCCATGCAAAGGGGAGGCGCTGGCCAGGATCAGGCTCGGAGCCGTGCGGCGCGGCTTCAGCCGGATGCCTCCAACAAAATCCGCGGGCGCGATTTTTTGTGGAGGGGCTTAGGCTGCTTTGTGCAGTTGTTGTGGGTTTTGAGAGTTTTCTGCGAAGTGCGGAAAAGGGCAACCCCTCGGTCGCACAAACGTGCGTATAAGGCGATCGCATTTCGAGATGTGATGCTAGAGACTTCCATAGACGACTTAGACGACCCTGCTCCATTGAAAGAGGGCCCAGCCTAGCCATGCAAACATATTCGCTTTCAGACTTGCAGGCCAGAACTTGTGCCACATAACTGCATGAAGAGTCCTTGTGTTGTTTGTCCATTCGAACCCTGCTTGCTAAGGCCAACCAGACCTCGGCAGAGCTCTCCACACCCCCCTCCGCAGCCAAAATGCTGCCCCTATTCAAAGGCGCTCTCCCTAAAACCCCCTCAAAAAGAGGCAGCACAAGGGAAGACTATTCGTAATTTACTATTAAGGCATTACTCCGACCCCTATTGTAATTATAAGCCCTGGCCCACTCCTTCAAAGATAACGTCGCGGTCCCGAAGATCTTCCTGGCCAAGGTCGTCTCTGTCACTTCAAGTCGCGCATTCCCGGGTTTAAACACCCAAGTAACCTAGGGGGTTTAGGGTTTAGGGTTTAGGGTTTAGGGTTTAGGCTTGAAGGGGTGTTTAGGGCAACCGAAGCCCCCGAAAAAGGCATAAGGGTACTGCTGGGCATCCTAGATCCCCTCCCAAAAGAACTCTAAGAAAGAAGAAGCATACCTTGGGGCCTCGAAAGGGGCATTTCGTCTAGGGCTTAGGGTTTTGGGTCTATAAGGTTTAGGGTTTATAAGCCGTGGTCAATGATACGATGAGTATACCGTAGCCCGGGAACGTTGAGGCTATCCTTGGTGGCTCATGGCACTACGTATGCGAAGCTCGGCCCTATACACAGGGCTCAGGTTTCAGCGTGCCAGAGATTTTACCTGAAGGCTCTAATGTAGTTCCTTTTGGGGGTAGCTAAAGGGGATTCCAGTATACTACCCAAAAAAGGTACTACAAAGGAGCCTTTGGGTAAGGCCCTAAACCACACAATCGTGTTCTTGCGTCCTGGGCGTTTTGCAAGACCTTCTGGAGCCGATGGAAGAGCTCGACCAGAACATCTGAGACGAAGGGAGTGGGACCCTAGACCCTGAAACCTAAAGCCCAATCCTAGCCCCGCATCCCCCACAATCTTGACCCCACTGAACCATACAAACTATATAAACCCTGAACCCTAAACCCTAAACACCCTAAGGAAAAACCTGAAAACCCTAACAAAAAGCTGAAAAGCCTACAACAAGCCCTAAACAAACCCTAAACGCCCTATAAATCCTACACCGGGAGCCGTGGCAGCCAGGACCCTAAACCCTAAACCCTAAACCCTAAACCCTGAACCCTAAACCCTAAACCCTAAACCCTAAACCCCCAGCTAAATCTACACCGGGGGCCATGGCACCCAGGACAGCCGACCGGAGTGAGTCCGCCGAGCAGAGGATGACCCAGCAGCTGCCGTGGCCGGCGATGCCCACCTTGGCTTAGGGTTTTTAGGGTTTAGGGTTTAGGGTTTAGGGTGTAGGGTTTAGGGTTTAGGGTTTAGGGTTTAGGGTTTGGGGTTGAGGGTTTAGGGGTTAGGGTTTAGGGTTTAGGGGTTAGGGTTTAGGGTTTAGGCTTTAGGGTTTAGGGCTTGGGTTTAGGGTTTACGGGTTTTGGGGTTTATGGGGTTCAAAGCTTGAGGATGTACAGTTGTTTCTGGGCTTAGGGTTTACGGATTAGGATTTTGGGTTTGAGGCTTCGGGCTTAAGTTTCGGAATCAGTTCTTTCCTCCCAGTTGTAGTTGCTCTTCTGAGGTCAAGTGGGTTTAGGGTTTAGGGTTTAGGGTTTAGGTTTAGGGTTTAGGGTTTAGGGTTTAGGGTTTAGGGTTCTCAATCGAATGACTTGTCAGAACCCAAACAATGAGTTAACAATGGGAGGTTTCGGTAGAGTCTTGGGTTTAGGGCTCAGGGGGTTCGAGGAGTTTTCGGTTGCCATACGTTTTGGGGTTTCGGCGGGCTTTATGAAGAGTTTTAAGTTTTGAGGCTCCTGCGAGTTATCTGACTGTGAAGGACTTGAGCCAAGGAGGAGCGTTCGGGTGTTTCAAAGGGGCATCTCGTGTAAGCCGTAGGGAGTTGTTAAGCCTGACCCCAAAGCAGACAGCCGGGAGACCATCACTCGGAACAGGTCGGCTGCCGTAGTAAAGGAGCTGCAAGTCAAAGCGGGGCAGTACCTTCCCGACACGCAGTTTGCAAGTCTAGGCCATGGTGCGCCCACTTTAGCTCCGGCTCCCTCTTGAAAGCCCAAGCTTGTCGGATACATTAACGCAGAACAACGAATGCTTCCCAAACTGTGCTAACTCTGAGGACCTGTTTGGTTCGTTTCGACTTTTTGCCGCGGTTGCTAGTCTGCGACTGTGGTATGGCTTGGCCTAGGTAGGGGGGGGATATAGGTGAGATAGTCAACGTTAAAAGGGGTTGAGGTGGACACGACATTACGTACATATGTACATGTGTATAGACATACGCATATACCATATGTGCACATCAGTATTGTTTGTACAATATATACCGACTTATCTACATCTGTGTATTTGTGCGTACATGCATACGCGCATGACGACACAGACGCACACGACGGGGATTGCTGGAACTTGAGACTAGTGGCCTGACAGACTCCCTGGTGCAAGCAAGTAACAATGACCAAACAACTCAGGCGCCATTCCCGTTTAACGGGGAGATGGAGCTTACATCTGTTCAAATAGATACAAATTACATTGTACAGTATGGCATTGTGGTAACATTTATGTATATGGGGTTTGCAGATTCGGGCATAGCAGACTCCAGAGCCAAAAGCCATGGCCAGCCATCACCCCTCCCAGGGCAGCCGAGAAACACGCCGGCTTCCATGGACAAGTCCTTGGCGATGTGGCGTTTCCCGTGGCCTCCACGTGCTGCAGGAATGCTTTAAGACAATCCCAACACCCCTACACCCTACACCCTACACCCTACACCCTACACCCTAAACCCTAAACCCTAAACCCTAAACCCTAAACCCTAAACCCCTGTCTGGTCGATCCCACGTCCTAAGCCCCAAGGCCTACTGTAGAGGTTGCTAGATGGCAGGGGCAACTGGGACTCCAGGGAACTTACAGCAGACCCCATAACACCCTTAACCCAGCCATTTTAGGTCCTAAGGTTGGGTTATTATAATTAACCCAGCCATTAAGGTCCTAAGATTGGGTGACTATAAGTAACCAATTTATTAAACAGTCACTTTGGCCGTCTTAGCCCCTTCATCCCCTGTCATTTTCAACCTTGTGATATAGGAACAACCAAGTACGGGTAGCGCATTGGCACATTAGATAATCTTGCTGGTTCATTGGTGTACCCCAATCAGAGGGCCGCAATGACTGGGCGAATGACTCAATGAGGTGATGGGTTATGGCAAATCATGACTGGGCTCCATGGGTTAGTAGTTGACGGTAGCTGCTTTTCGTTGTTTATGAGCCAGCAACACCAAACCCCAAACCCTAAACCCCAACTAAATCCAATCATGGGGCCAAAATAGTCGGCTTCACTCTGAAATCAAGCTACTAGGCTTTTGGGGGATCTACGACATGGGACGGTATTTTCGAATCAACCAAAGGGAGGGCTGGGAGGGCTACTGCGATTGAAAGGTCTTGCAATCCTGGCGCATGTAGCATCTACAAAATGCCCGCGATCTCTAAAACCAGCGAGAAATCCTCGGGACTCTTCTCAACCGTCCTGCTCTAAAAACAACTGTCAAATCTCAAGCCCAAAGGTCCTAACCCACCAGGACCCTCACCAATTTGACGAGGGTATTGGGTTCGCCTCAAGCAAAGTTGCAGGGATGAAAAGGAAGAAGGCTTCGAGCGCATCTAGTTCCCAAGTAGACATGTCTGAACATTGCGGAGCGGGAAGGAGGTGCTTCTACTGGCTGGTCCTTAGTTGGGGATAAGGGAATGAGCTACCGTAATCCCTTATAAAGGGTTTCTTGAAAGGGCATCAATTCCCTCATTCCCTACTAAGAACCTCAGGGAGGTCTAAGAACCCTGCAGTCCTGAGCCGCCATAGATGTTGGCGATCTGCCCGTTGGCAAAGGCCTGCGTCATAGTAAGCCAGCAGCGATCCTCCGATGGACTCGGCATGTGCAGCGTTTCTTGCTTGAGGTACTCCGTGGCAGGATGCAGTATTCTGAGCCCTGAACTTTAGGAAATCCGAAAACAATAATCAATGTATCTCAAACATGTCAAAGCACTGACAACTTTATTCCCTAGCTTATCTTTAGGACTACCGCTTTCCCAAAGGATCCATGTACCCATGTAGTATATACTTGGGCCTTAAAGCTACTATGTGGGAACCCCTTTAAGGCCTAAGTATATACTACATAGGTACAAAGCTACTATACAGGAACCCCTTTAAGGCCTAAGTGTATACTATATACGTACAAAGCTACTATATAGGAACCCCTTTAAGGCCTAAGTGTATACTATATAGGTACCTGGATCCTTAGGGTTAGGAGGTAGGATTACGGGGACCTTTGGGGATATAGACCCTCTCAATAAGGTCCCTCCTTAATGGTGCCAGAAGAGGGTAACCCTAAACCCTAAACCCTAAACCCTAAACCCTAAACCCTAAACCCTAAACCCTAGGAAGGGTTTTCTTTTCGAGGAGCCGTCTCGGGAGTGATCACCAAACGCGGAGCAAGGCCCAGATACTCGAAGCCATAGAGGATGCTTACATCCAGGTGGCGAAGCCTCTGTGCTGGTTTGGGGTTTAGGGTTTAGGGTTTAGGGTTTAGGGTTTAGGGTTTAGGGTTTAGGGTTTAGGGTTTAGGGTTTAGGGTTTAGGGCTGCTGGAAAAATGGGTTTCAAACGAGTGGGGCTCCCCACACCCATTCTTGTAGGGTTCTTAAGGGAGGGGGTTCAAGGGGAGTTTAGGGTTTACGTCTGGTTTAAGGGATTTAACCCAGGGTTCCCGAATACTCCCCACCACTCCCCACTCTTCCCTAAGGCTCCCTAAGGCTCCCTAGGTACCTACCCCAGTCCCTAAGAACCCTAGAAGACATTGGGGATGCGTATATATATATATATATATATATATATTCGTTAATGAGTTATAACTGTACATGAATCTCTGTGTATGCCTATACAAGTACATATCCGTATATTGATTTATGTCGGTACATTTTGAAAGGTAGACAGCTCCTCTCTCAGTACACGCTAGATGCTCAGGAGGCTTTGGAGCTCGGCATGGAACCCAGGTCTGGCCGGTATATACTAGAAGCCTGTATAGAGGGGGACAGTAGAAGCCACCTTTGAGATAATTCTGTTCCGACCAAAAACCTAACCTAACCCTCATATGACTATCATGAAATCCGAACTCAAGCGCCTAAACTCCTCAGCAGAGGCCCAGCAACTTCAGCTGCTTCGAAGCGCTGTTACCTTACTTCTCCAGTAACCAAGGGGGAGAATAAGGTTAAACTTTTATTATTCCTACGAAATAAGGAAGCCCAAAAAAGTTTAAAGTTCACTTCTTGGCCAAGAAAGTTACTGTCGAAGCGCATCTGCATCTGCCAACTGAGGGACCTCACGCAGGGAGGCAAGGGCTGAGAGGATTTAGGGTTTAGGGTTGAAGGTTTAGGGTTTAGGGTTTAGGGTTTAGAGTTTAGGGTTTAGGGCTGAGAGCACCTGGCCGACACCAAGACAAAGTACACCAACCGCAAACCCCCAGGCATAGTCCTTTAAACCGTGAAAGCCAAAAAGCACTGAACCAAAGGTACTGAACCCTGAATACTACAGGAGCCATCCCAAATAATACATTGAATCAAAAGGCAAAGGCAAAAGTTCAGTGCTGCCCAGCTTCTGTGCAGTGAGATGCTGCCCCTTCCTTAGATTCAATGTCTAGGGTGGAAGGCTTCGACACTTGGAGGCGAGGCTTCAGCAGTCAGCAAGCATCATGGCAAGCTCTTCATCAGCGACAACCCCCCAAAAAAAACCTCCTTCACAGTCCTATGTCCCGGTTTTCCTTTATCTCCTGGCTTTGGGGTGGTTTGTGGGGACCAGGCGCTGGCATTCTGCGTTCTCTCCGTCTGCAGGGCTTCTTGGGCGTGAGATGTTACCCAAAGGATCCATGTACCTATATAGTATATACTTGGGCCCTAAAGCTACTATATAGGAACCCCTTTAAGGCCCAAGTATATACTATATAGGTACATGGATCCTTTGGGTTAAGGAAAACACCAGACGTAGCCTGCAAGCCCTACTGCATGCATCCGGTAGTGGTGGACTTGCAACCACAGGTCAACCCCCCACCTAGAGTAACCCCGTACCTAGAAACAGGCTACATCGACACAAGACTTAAAGAAACCCTAAACCCTAAACCCTAAACCCTAAACCCTAAACCCTAAACCCTAAACCCTAAACCCTAAACCCTAAACCCTAAACCCTAAACCCTAAACCCAAATTCAGGCAGTACAACGGTTACTCTAGGTCAACTCCGAGCAGTGCTCCGTAACCATGAACACTCTACCTTAAGACCCCAAACCTACCCTTTTTGCAGGTTACCCAAGAACCCTATAAGGGGCTTTAGAAGAAGAGCCTACCAAAAAACTAGGTTTTTAGGCTCTTGAGGTAACCCCTGCTCGCAACAGCTGAGGAGGTCTCTTCAGACCAGCACCTGGAGTCTGGAACTGAGGGCAATAATCCCTATAATATCACCCTTATAAGGAAGAATACTGTACATTCTTGGAGGGCTCTTAAATCTTAAGCAATTAGTAGCAACAGCTGTTGCTACCAATGAAAGCATGGAACTGAGGGCGAGGCTGTGTGAGCAGAAAGCGCAGGGCCTCCTGGCTTCGAAGCAGCAACCTGACATCAAGCCGATTTTTTGTCCGGGGCTTGGGGGTTTTTGGGAGTTTGAGGGGTTTAGGGCTTAGGGTTTAGAGGTTTAGGGGTTTAGGGGTTTAGGGTTTAGGGTTTAGGGTTTAGGGTTTAGGGTTTCGGGTTGAGGGTTTAGGGTTTAGGGTTTAGGGCCGGCGTGCTTGATGAACATCCGATCTTCCACCCGAGCCTCAACCCCACATACCCTGACCCCGACAAACGACGCCTTAGCCGATTCCAAAGATGCTGAAGCCCTAGGCTTTGGTAGCCCAGCAGCCTTGTTTGTAAAAAGGGTACTTTTTTTTATTATTTTTTTTTGGGGGGGGTGCAACTGGAACCCAAGAAGAAGGACTGGGCTACCAGATGGAGGCCTGAGGTGGGTGTTCCAGGCTTTTTTGTTGCAAGCGAGGGCCGAGCCAACTTGGGGTTTCAGGGCATGCACGGAAAACACACGAAGCAGGAACCGAGCAAGCTCCAACTTAGCCAGGATCTCATGTTCTAGGATCGAAAGCTTTGCCCTGGAGTTCCTGGGCTGCTGCTGGGGGGGGGGGGGGGGGGGGGGGGGGGGGGGGGCGGAATTCAGAAGCCCAAAATACTTCGAGCCCATGTTTTGCCGAGCAAGGGCCAAGCCGTCGATGAAAGGTTTAGGGCGCTTCACTGAGTCAGTCGATCTCTCTCTCTCCCTCCCCCTTGTTGTCTCAGTGCCTCTCTGTGTATCTCTCTCCCTCCATCTCTTTCCGTCTGCGTGTCTGTGTGTGTGTGTGTATATGCGTGTTTTGTGCCGCCTAGATCTCAACAGAGAAGGACGACTCCGTATAAGACAGAGGCAGGCCCCCAAACTTCCAAGGACCTCCCGACTCCCGTTTTGGGCTGCCTTCATTTGAGGAAAGGGGGCCGAAAGTGGAAAAAACAACAAAACGAATCGGTAGCGAACTGAACATATAGGTTAACTTCTAGAGCCCTAAGTTCGGCCACAGGCATCCAGGGTAAGGAAGCACATCCCCGCAGTACACCGGCAACCTAGAGACTGCACTTATTCTTTCATGGGGTCGAAAAGGACAAAGGGACTCCACCCTAAACCCTAAACCCTAAACCCTGAAACCTGAAACCCTAAACCCTAAACCCTAAACCCTAAACCCTAGTGCGTCCGGCAACAGCGCCAACCGCTCCAGCCGTAGGCAGGTGAGCTTCTCCTGGCCGAGGAACTGGGCTGTCAGTCGGGCTCTGAGCCCAACCCTACGCCCCAAACCCTAAACCCTAAACCCTAAACCCTAAACCCTAAACCCTAAACCCTAAACCCTAAACCCTAAACCCTAAACCCTAAACACCACACCCCGAACCCTTCCCAGGGTACAGAGGCCGCATGGTTTGTTCTTGCCCTCTCTGCACAAGCTTCCTTCATAAGATCCTCTCAAGCCCAGTATAAGGGAATACAACAACCCCTCGGTCCTAAAACTGTTCTCGAACCGTGGTTCCCAGTTCTGACCAGGTGGTCTATAAAGGTGGCTGCTCAGCAATATTCATTTCTTAGTTGCCGAGTTCGGAAGCCCCAAAAAAGTGTACACTTTCAGTTCTATAGGTGATTATGGTATCCCAGACAAGTGTAAAGTGTACTCATTCAGCCACTAAGACTAAAACCCGCAACCCAAGTTAGGGTTTAGGGTTTAGGGTTTAGGGTTTAGGGTTCAGGGTTTAGGGTTTAGGGTTTAGGGTTTAGGGTTTAGGGTTTAGGGTTTAGGGTTTAGGGTTAGGGTTTAGGGTTCCACATGGCTCCCGTAGGCCTCTGGGGTGTGCAGTACCCTGGCTCAAGAGAAGTCTTGTTACAGCCTGTGTTTAGCGATTTCCAAGTGGTTTAGGGTTTAGGGTTTAGGGTTTAGGGTTTAGGGTTTAGGGTTTAGGGTTTAGGGTATGCCTGAAGCCCGCAAGCCCAAGCCCTGCCCGGGCCTATGAAGACCCCCAAACCCTGAACCCGAAGCCCTAAACCCGAAGCCCTAGACCCTATTTATACCCTAAACCCTAAACCCTATATAAACCCTAAACCCTAAACCCTGAACCCCAAGTCCTGCAAACCTGAGCTCCCTTAGACCGACTGCAGGAGCCTCACCACCACTCCGCAGCGGCTGAAGAACGCGCATGAGAAAGCCAGCCTTGGGAGGCGAAAAACCGCCGGATTGCTTTAGGGTTGAGGGTTTAGGGTTTAGGGTTTTCGTTTAAGGGGTTCAGCCGGTCCTTCTGCGGGTTTAGGGTTTGGTTTCGGTTTCTTGTCGTAGGGGCATAGGGTTTCCGGGGTTTGAAAGCCAAGAGGTTCGGGAGAAGACGCGGAGGGCTCATTGCTGAAGGCCTGAAGCTTACAGGGTTGACAGCTTCATGTAGGCGCCTTCATGATTCGAATAGGTTTTTTTGTTTTTTTTTTTTTTTGGGGGGGGGGGGGGGTTATTCTAGTATCATTTTTATTACAGGAACCAGAAGGGAGTACTCTTAGTAACTCTTCCGACCCCTAGATTAGGGCTTCTAGCTTTCTAAATGTCCTTCCAAGGCAGAGACTCCAGATTCGACACTTCCTCTGGCCAATTGCCATCATGAGCTCTTAGTTGCTGAGTTCATAAGCCGCCGAAAAGTGCACACTTTCAGGTTTAGGGTTTAGGGTTTAGGGTGTAGGGTTTAGGGTGTCCTACAGGGGATTCGAGTATCCCAAAAAGTGTAAAGTGTACCCATTCAGCTACTAAGACTTACGACTGAGAGAACATCTAAACAAGGCAGGGGCTTCAGGGCTAGGGCTTAGGGTCACAACATCCTGACCATCCTGAACCTCAAGCACACTTCAGGCACGAAGCAGCTGAGGTTTAGGGTTTAGGGTTTAGGGTTTAGGGTTTAGG